TTAGACTCTTGGCACTCTTAGGTGAGCAGACTTAGTCAGCCTGTGTTGCCCTAACATCCCAACTCTTTGTGGCATCACAATGGTCAGCATGGTCTTGTCTGGTGGCAGTTGCACATTCATGTGTTTGTGGATGGATACTCTTGCTGCATCACTGGCATTTGAGTCAACACCACCAATCACACTGATTCAGTACTCTTGGTTTTTCTTAATGTGATTGAGCTCTTTGGCACACATTTGCATGTTCTTGGAGATCACAGCAGAGAGAATGTTCATGTTGCAGAATGGATGGTGCAACATTGAGGATCAAATCATGGCTCCTACATCTGGGGCTGCTTGGTGCACAATACTCACATAGAAAGAATGTGGGTGGATGTCATGAATTCCTTCAGTCGAAAATGGTCATGGTTCTTTCACTTACTCGAAGAGTGCCATGGCTTGAGTCTGTTCAATCAAGATCACATATGGCTTCTCCATTGGCTGTTCCTTCAAGATCTCAATGATGATGTGGTCACATTTCAGAACAAATGGAATCACCATACCATGTCTCTAGCAGATGGCAACCAGTGGCCAGCAGATCTTTTTCTTGCCAGTTGCTTGGAGCATGGTGCTAGAAGCATTGATCTGACACCTGTGGAGGACCCAGTGTATGACTGCAATCCTCCTGCATATGGTACAGAAGATGGAGAGACTGCAGAGGATTCAATGGATGGAAACTCTTGGACACCCTACAGCTCTGCTCAAGTTCAATCAGACCAGCTGCCTCCCCCATATGTCATCTTCCACAGCAGAACACCAACTGATCAAGTCCCTGCTCAACTGTCCAACATCAACTTGCTGATCCCTCATTCTGCGCTGATGCCAGAGCAAGTCAGCACTCTTATTGTTGAGCTAGATCACTTGTTTGTTCAACCAGACCTTCTCACACTGACTGAAAGATGGTGAAGAGCCCTTGAGATAAGTGCCAGGCTCACACACTGATGTATCTATTGTACAGTAGTTTTAATTAATCTCTGATAGGGTGATGATTGCCTGCTCCACTTGCAGCAAGGGCAGGAGCATCCTCTCTGTCAAGGATAGGGTGGTGAGTGCCTGCATAAGCACCCTTCATGTTGAGGATAGGTGGTTGGGGTGGGAACATCATGGAATATGTGAACCCTAAGTGAACCATTCTGCAACTTGAACCATCTTCCTACCTCATGACCACAACCCTTCCTCCTCAACATCTACAGATCAACTCAGATCCAGGATATCTGGACTATATGTCTTCGCTTGAACCCTCTGGGCATTGTGAGGGATTTGACTTGGCAGCTCCTGCTTCAGGAACATCCAATGATGCCGAGCAGGCCACAGCCCTCCTGCATACCTCATTGGACTCTGGAATCAATTTGAGAAACATGTTAGGCAATGACAAAATGGAGATGGATGAGCAGAGAAGCACTAGTGGCCCTCTGAGTGCTACAGAATATGCACATGCCAATGTGTGAGCATGCACTGTGAATCCCTTGTCTGCCTGTGCTGATGTCACCATAGCCTACTAGGATTGCTTGTACTTCAAGCTAGAGAGCACAGCCAGCTCACCACATCTGGGATGGAGGGCATACCTCTGAACAGACATAACAAAGATCACCCGGATGCAGCAGAGGCTCCATCTGAGCGCAGATGACCATCACCCTATCCACAACCCGACCTAGACAGCGCCACAAGAAGTGCTGCACCCACTTCCCCTATCCATCTAGAAGCGTCTTGGAGACACTTCTTGACATTGGTGATACTTTTCAAGATGAACTCTGCTGAGGGTAGAGTCTTTGGTCAGGCTAAAATCAAGAACAAATGGCCACAGGAGAATTTTGCAAGCAATCTGCTCCCTCCTATCTTTGAGCAGCACTGCCAACATGGCTTGACACATTTCACAGCCTCACACTACTGCAACTTTGCTGTTGCAACATCTTGAATCCCCTCCACCTCTTAATGGGGACAACATTGTTTCTATTGCCAGCCTGGACATCAGCTGCTGGGCATGCTTGGGAGCCATATTGATGGCCAAGAGACCAATGAAGCTGAGTTACAGCCTATGGATCATACCAATCAACAAACACAGCAGTTCATAGAGGCCCTACTGCTGCATGTCCCCTGCACATGGTTCTAGGGATTAGTGTATGTTCTGTACCTTGTTCAGCTCACAGAAGACCGGTGCAATCTCCTTGGGGAAATGCCTACCACTCCTCCCCATATGCCAACTCCACCAATCCCTCCTACACTGCTGACCCATATTCCTTCTTCCCCTGTGGAAGCAAGTATATCACCCACTGATGAAGAGGAGAGTGTCCCACACACTGAGATTGCCAACCCTGCCACTGGATGGTCTTGAAGAGGGGGGAGAAGGTGACAGAACAGCCCATGGATACAGGAGATTGCTCAAGGAGACAACTTCACTCACCATTCCTTGTTCCTCGACAGCCACTTTCCTTGTGTTCATCAGGTCTTGAATGGTCTGGTGCCCATGGAAGAAATGAGCAGCCTTGGCTCTGTGCTGTGGTTTGCCCAAAGGATTCAGCTTTTTAATGAGGTTGTGTCTGCCTTGTCCATGCCTCAGGCACTTGAAAACAACTTCTATGTGGTCCACAAGGCTGAGGGATGGGATGGCCAAATCTCAGCTGGTCAAATGGTTGCTTGGTTTGGTTCTCACTCTTGGGGGGGTGACGTCTCTCATAAGACAATCAACACACACTGGGGTCATGTAGAGAAGCTTGTGACTTTCTGGCAAACACAACAAGACTGGTTCTACCAGCAGAAGAATTGCTCGGACAATGCAGATAATGCAAGTGCAACCAGTTGAGCCAAGCTAGAAGTAAACAGTGTGGTGGGATATTCAGTAGAGTGCACTGCTGCTCAATGAACTCTAGTCATGGAAGGCACACCTGTGGGTCTCATTGTGCACCTGGCAAGAAGCATGAATCCAAAGTCAGTTGAGAAAGAAATCAAACATCTATTCCACAGTTTTGACAGGCAGAGAGGCTAGGTACATACTTAAGCATTGTGCATGTATGTAGCTAGGTGAATAGATCATCTGGATGGATGAATGCCACTCAGATGGGGAGGATGCTCTTTGGATAGAACATAGGGTGATGGTCAGCAGCCCCAAAGAGGCTGCAGATGCATCCTCTCTGTCAAGGATAGGGTGATGATCACTCACACCAGCTTCACAGATACACTCAGACAAAATTGCATATATTTGTCAACATAAACCAAGATTAGAGTGACTACAGCATATTGAAGTTTGAGCTCAAAGTAAGTAAAGATGCCAAGATGACATGGTTAAATTTGTGCCCATCATTGTCAGAAACTGCAAGCTGTGGGAGGTCAGTCCCATACTGCAAAGCCAATTTTGTAAAGCATACTTGAGCACTGACCAGTGTTTCAGTGCTGTGCATCTGTTCAAATTCTCCAGTGTGATGCACAAAATGGGGTTTGATCTCTGTCTGGTGGTACATCAGACACTCATGTCAAGGATAGGGTGATGATTGCCCAGACCAAGGGTGCAGTATACATGTACCTGGAACCCTGCAGAGGCAGGTGGCCACTCCAAACCCATCACCATTATGTTCAAAACTTTCTGGCAGATGTGAGGAAGATACACACCTTGAGTGATAAGTGAAGCCAGGGTGGAACCTTTCTCCAGCACTGCATACACAGCTCATAGGCCTTCCAGAGCTGCTGAGGCTGTGAGAGGAGGAAGGCCATCTCTGGTGATAAATCGGCTGAGAGCTTTCTTGAGGGATGTCCAGATTGGCAATGGTATATGATCATCAGGCAGAAGCCACCAAATCCTTGGAGTCAGATATGCTTGAGGATCAAGAGTAAGATTGCGATATAGAATGTAAATAAAGGAGCGAAAGTCAGTGAAAGCACATTGAACATAGAACTATGAGAAAGATGAGCATTGCGTATGAAGGAAGCAGTGTACAGTGCATGTACATCTCTGAGGTTGTCAAAGTAGCACAAGCCATTCATCAGACAAGAGACTTGTGGAACCTGCTTAGAGAAGTCAGGATGCCCAAAGAGTAGGTAATTCCTCAGCTTATATCATATAGTCTGATGGTCCTGGAAGGACATTTTCCAGGTGAGCAAGTTTTCTGGCATGACCTGCATGCACTGGTGTCAACAGCAATACTCACTGGAGGAAGCAGTCTGTTTATTCACCACATTGATAGTCTCCAGGAGATACTGAAAATCTGCGATCAAATGAGCTATGGCAGCTTGAGCAAATGGGCAATCTGCTGGAGGATCAGTGACATAATTGCTAGCCAGCTGATCCCATGAGCTCAAGTGTGCTGCAGCTTTCAGAGCAAAAGTGCAAATGAAGCAAACATCATTGCAGAGTGTGAGTGTGGCTTTGAAGTCATTGGATCCTGCAACGAGAAGCAGGAATGGAGATATGTGTATTGCTGAAGAGAATCCATAGAAGAGACAGAATACCAATTCTGAGCCAGAACAGTTCATCTGTCCAGTGATAACCAACAGGAGGATTGATGTCAAGATAGTCATCCACAGTTCACAAAAAGGATTGCTCCTTGTTGTCAAGGTATCAATTGAGCAGCATATGGAATGTGGGTTAGGGCAACACAGGCTGACTAAGTCTGCTCACCTAAGAGTGCCAAG